AGGATTTAGCTCCTTGCCATACGTCCAAAATTGTCAAGAAATTCATGTCTGAGAATCAAATTGAGACATTGGAATGGCTAGGGAACTCTCCGGATATCAACCCAATTGAGAATCTCTGGGCCATATGCAGGAATCACCTATTAAATATGGACTGTACAACTATGAAGCTAATCACGGCGTTAATTCATGTGTGGTACAAGGACACAAATATTATAAATGACTGAAATATATATATATATATATATAAAATGCACCTTTGCATTCTTATATAATGGTGTGCATTCTTAAATTGACAGAATTTTCCAGCAAACGAAGTCTAAACCAATGTGTGTAAACACTAGGACTAATAATTTTCGTATAAGATAAAATACTGGTCTCAAGAACAAAGTAATTTCCAGACTACCACAAGTTATTAACATATCATGTACATTAACTTGTTAAAATAATTGACAAATATAAGACTCAAACAATAATAGTTACATGGCAGCCAACTATTACGCTTTTTGAGAAATATTTTACTAAGAGGTAGACAATTAGCAACTAAAACTTTCAAGAGATTTTGTAATTTTGCAAACAAAAAGCTTTTCCCCTTGATATCTGAAACAAAGCGGCTTTTAAATCATTTACATGAAATGGAGTGGAAAATAAATTTAAATCAAATTTATAAATAAAATCCTACTTTGAAACATTAACTTAGCTACCACTAGAAGAAATTTTCCCAAACAGCGTAGCTCCTTGTTGTAGCTCTATAAAATTTATAATATACCATGAACTCGTGTAGAAAAGGAGCGTAAGACGGTGAAAAGAACCAAGACTTTTATGTTAACCCCATATGTACCGACGGAACTTATAGGTCCCACTAATATTATTTGCAAATTGCATTGAAACGAAACAAAATATCCCATCGAAACTCGTGTGTCTCTGTAATATAACTTTCCATTTATGATAATTAATTGACAACACATAATTATTCGAAGTTAAGCCTCACCTATGTATGGAACTATTTAGTTGTTGATATTTCGTTCGAGGACGCCATTTTATGATTCTTCAACTCTCAGCTTTCTATCTCAATCAATGTTGTATGCAAGTCTTTCATATTTTTTATAAGCTTGTTTCAGACTAAATAACTCAGTACTACATTTTTGTAAATATAATCGTTTAAATGGTGCTAATATCGTTTTTTTATGGTAACGGTTTTATGGTAATGGTTTTTCCTTCTTATAGGCAGGATGGTACTTTTTTTTCTCGGGACAGTCGTCGTATTTAAAGCAACAGAAAAAGCAAACAAAGAAAATTATAACAAAATAACCATAGCGATACCCAAACGATTAAAACGCAAAATTAGAAATAATTTACAAAAGTGTTTTGACTCTAAGATTTATAGAAGGCCACAGATGAAATACGATAACTTTTTTTATGAAAAAGACGATTAGACAATGGTGGTTCAAATATAACTTGATACTTCATTAGTGTGCAAAAATTAAGGACGAAATGCAAAAACTGACATAACAAAACAGGCAGTTACAGCGAAGGAAAAGGTCATTGAGAAGACTAACCACGGTAAGGAAGAATAGAAAATTTGCACATATGCACCATGCTGTACCGAAGGGCGAGTCGTAAGGAAATAAAACAAGTTGGCGGTGGAAGCTCAGTAGTTATGTGAATGGTATTGCACGGTATGTAGCTTGTAGTACTTGATATACAACACATCGGGTGATAAGTTTCCGGTCTGACATACAAATGGGGCTTTAAGTGCAGAATTAGTATTTTGTTTAGCAAGTCCTAACCTTCAAATGAAAGGTGTCAAAATTTTATAACGATCTGTAGATTGATTTTAAAGTTACAGTGATTTTAATCGAACACCAATTTATATTATTGAAGCAACGAATAAAAAAGAATTTCGTGTTCTTATTAAACATTGTTATTTAACGGGAAAAAAACACGTTAGAAACTAAAGCTTGGCTCGATGAGTGTTATCCGGGTTCTTCAGCAGGAAAATTGACCATTATTGACTGGTTTGCTGATTTTAAACGTGGTCGCACAAATGTTGAAGGTGCGCCACGCTCTGGACGCCCTAAAGATGATGTTAATCCGGAAAACATAATAAAAGTCCACAAAATTGTTATAGAAAACCGCAAAGCGAAGTTGCATGACATAGCTGATACTCTAAATATATCAAAAGAGCGTGTAGGCTTTATTTTGCACGAACATTTGTTTATGAGAAAGCTGTTTTCGAAGTTGGTGCCGCGTATGCTTAACAGTGGACCAAAAACAACAACGAATTGATGATCCCGAGAGCTGTTTGACGTTGTGTCAGATACCCCCTATTCACCCGCACCAACCCTATTCACCAGATTTGGCTCCCAGTGACTTCTACTTGCTTGCAGACTTGAAAAAAATTTTCGCGGGTAAGAGATTCAGCACAAATGAGGAAGTGATTGTCGAAACAAACGCCTATTTTGAGGCCAAAGATTAAAATAACTGTAACTTTAAAACCAATCGGCAGATCATTATAAAATTTTGACACCTTTGATTTGAAGGTTAGGACTTGCTAAATAAAATACTAATTCTGCATTTAGGGCGCCATCTTTATGTCCGACAGGAAACTTATCAGCCGATGTGTTAGTTTCCGTCCATGCCAGCTGATAATTCACTTCATCTGAATTTCGCCCTTGAGCAACTTTGACACCCACCGTGTTAGGCACTAATTGTAAGGAAGGCGGTTGGCGGCTATAATTAATTAGTTAGTATAGCTACTAACTTGTAAGATCGTTGGGAAAGACTTAACGTGTGATAGTAAACAAACAACTTAAGTAGAGAGAATTTTCTGAAAACTTCACTATCTTTTGAGGATATAATTTCTTTGTATATTATAGATATGTTTATGTTATTGATTTGCTGCTGTCAGTAAACTATTTCTTTTTGTTGTTTCAATTTTAAAAAAAAGTTTTTTAATATGCAGAAAATGGCGCAACTGAAAAACATTTTCCACAAACATTGTTTGAAACTGTATCATAAGCCTCAATATCATAACAATTAATAAAACCTTACTTTTCAATAGCAGATTTTGGACATCGTTCCTATTGCATGTCGAGGGTATGCAGATAGCTGTTTGAGGCAGGAGTTTCCTGGAATGTTGATTTGGCTGCAAGAACTTCTGCAATGAATAAGAGTTTTGTTGACTTGATTTCAAAATAATAGGAATAGATGTATGTGTATAACGATTTCCTTAGCCAATAACACGTATAATTTGCAGATTAAATATAGATCATGCATTGGAAACAGATCGTTAACACATTAGATCGCATTTCATGCATTGAAAACAGATCATTAGCACGTTGCCGCAAATGACGGCTACAGCCGTCTGATTCGTAGCGATTTGTAAAGAAATGTCGGCAGCCATCCTGAAAGTTTCTACCATTTGCATACGCAAACCTCTTTTAGTGGAACCGTTAATTACCACTTCTTTTACGAAACTAATACCTCCTTCTCATTATCAGATTTCGTAAATGTATCAAGAGCTTGGTGCAACATCTCCACATTACTCCTTAAAAAACTCAAAACATGCCAGAACAAAATCCTCAGGAAAATAACAAAAGCAAGATGGTTTATCAGAAATAAAAACATACATCGCGACCTCAACATAGATTCTTTAGATCATCATATTGTAAAACTAAATTTCAGATTTTTTGAAAAAACCATAAATTGTGACACCGCAGGATTCAACGAAATCTTTACTTTCGAAAACTTAAGAGAAGACGTAAACCTCAGGCCTATGGCAGCTTACTGGCAGCTTCAGTGACGTAATTTTATCTAAAATTCAAAATATTTAAATTCTTTTTACTTCAATTGCATTCCAATTACCAGAAAGAACCACCCTAAAGATCACAATTCAAGACGAATGGGAAAAAGGCCGCTAACGGCCCCAGGCGACCAGATAAATATTGATGATGATGATGAAATGTATCGAGATCCATGAGAATGAAAGATGTAAGAAAAGATTTAAAAATCAACAAGATAGTCGAACACACAGCTGAACTATGTGCAAAGTTCTTCAGCGATGCACTCTCCTGTGATACGTGCAACTACTTTAAAAAATTTGATTTTGAGCTCATCAAAGACAACATAAAATAGCCAGGCAACCGCTCTTTTCCTAATCGATGGGGTATTGTTCCGTAAATTTTGTAAATAGTTATAAATACTTGTAAATTTTTTTGAGCATTTATTATCATGTATTTTACCTATTTCTCTGAGGCTACAGTGTACCTGCGAAGCTTGGGGGTAATACCTCGGGGGGTGATGAAGCAGTCTGACAAAAACCTCTTCTCTCTCATAAATTTGTTTGTTTAAATCTCGCGATTTCATTTTAATTTTCACTCAGTAAATGTTAATGAACCCAAACCTTCACCATTCAATTGCGCTTCGGCGATTTATCATATCATTCCTACTCAGATGAGTTAGTGAGAGCCCCTCGCGGGGCTGATGCTAAGATAACTATGAGTATGAGTAAATGTATCAAAAATTTTAGGAACATGATGCAAACTTGTTCCTGCACATTTTAATTAGTAAAAAAGGAACATCATTAGTACGAAATGATTTGTTAATTGTAATGTGATCCTTCGAGAAAAAAAACTATGTTCCATATAGCAAATAAAATGTAACTTTTTTTATTGGATGAAAAACAAATTTGTTGTGATGAGCAAATGATGATTAAAGCCGTCGAGAGCTTTCATGGAAGAACTGTGACAAAATGTGATGTGATAATTTTTTCTTCCAAACATATGTCTTATTCTCCATTTTATATGGCAGTCATAAAATTTAAAAAAAAAATTTAGGTTTTGAATGAGATCGACAAATTAAAAGAGTAGAGTAACACATTAGCTCATGAATTCACGGTCAGTCAAAGTGGTCTATATACAAAAGACACCAATATAAAAAAAACTGGTACGTCATATTTGTTGACACCAAGTAAATATTTCGTATTTTTTGCCTAACCGCTTTAGCTTCGAAAAAAATTTAGGTTTTGACTTTCGATCCAAATATAAATCATTATGCAAGACAGAATGCAATGCTAGACAGAACAGAATTGTTTTATTTTTGAAAAATAATCCTAAAGATTGACAGACGTACTACCACTTTAAAAAAAATTACTTTAATTTTAAATTAACGTTCCGCACAAATTGTATTTAACAGTTTGCGAGAGATGGAATAAACTGGTTTTAGATAGGCTAAATTTGACCTAACAGTCACGGGTAACAATTGTAAACTCACAGCAGTCATAAAAGTAGCATTGTATTCGCAAAAAAGCATCATTTCATGTTACGACGGAGCCTTCCAAAAACAGCCTTAACGCAAGTCAACGTGTATATTTTTCTCGCTTACATTGTTAAAATAATTCGAAAGTCCAACTTTACTATCCAGAGGCAAAACACTAAGTAGGCAGTATTTTCCATGAAATTGTATTTTGTTTTGATTCTGAGCAGATACGTGAAGGCATGCATCATAATCTCCTAATGCACCAACTGTTCCTCTTGAGACACCACTTGGAAGTTTCCCATAAGAATCCAACACTGTAAACAAAATCACTCTGATAATTATTTGAATAATGGAATTTATATTGATTTGTATATATACATATATATTGTATATTATATTATATTGTAAGGTAGAATAGATAATATTAAAAGAATTAAGAGAGAGAGAAGAATATGGAATATGCTTCAGAAAAATGCTATCACACTTTTTTTTTAAAAAAAAAAAGTCTCATAAAGGTACATTTCCTTTAAAAAATAGCCCCGGAGAACATTTTTTAATTCTGTTGCGCAAGATTTTAAAAACTTTCACATCGCTGATTTCAAATCTGCAATTGGTTTCTTTCATCAAGCTTCAGTTTTAATATAGCCAAAAGTATAATTTAAAATTCAGTCGTGAGAATACTAAATAACCACACTTCTCTAGTACGTAGGGTGTGGTAGGAAGAAGGTGATAATACATTTCAATTTATGATGCGATGCAGTAAGATCATATGTTTTTTGTCTCAAATGTTTTTTTCTTTTCAAAGAAGCAGACTTGTGCAAGTACATGTATAAAAATCTATACGTTTTTTATAAGCTTGTACATTCACACAAAAAAGAAAAAATTTAAAAATACCATTTTGAAGAAAAAAATGTAGCTTTCGGAACAAAGCTAATTTCATATTTAATATCCCCACACCCAAGTTAGGTAAGTACTTGTATAAATGCAGACACTTCAACTATTTGAAGCTATTGTGAATTATTTTTTCCTATTGATAGTGAATTTTAAAGCAGAATTTTTTAAAAAACTGGGAACTTAAGAGTTTATCTATCAGACCCGACATGTATCTGTTTAAAATATATGTGTCTTGCGATGGACAAAATTTTCTTCAATATTCAGATTTTTTAAAATCTAAATATCCACTAAAATCTATTACTATCACTAAAAAAATATTTTCTGAAACTATCAAAAATCCACTGTAGTGGGATTCTCTGGAAATGAAAGTAGTGCAACAAAACATTTGTTCCCTAGTGTAATATGAAGTGGCAGTCGCAAACATTATAAAATATCAAGTTTAATTAAAGTAAAATTAACAAATGAACTCAGCAATAATAAATTTAAAAATGAGACAGAAAGCTTAAAAAATGTATTAAATAATCTTATAACTAATTTATAAAATCATATTATTTAAGCAGAAGCCGTCTATCATAGTTAAGATATGTATGGCTTGTTGTAAAAAAACAAAACTTGAATGATGTGAGCAACTGACAACAGCTTCTTAACCTGTTCAAAAATAATCCATTTTTAGTTCAAAAAATGTTAAAAACGTTTAGCTATACTTTTAAGAATTAACCCTTCTAGAACGATATTTTCTATTATTTGTGGTTAAAAATAGCGTGGTATACAGGAATCTAGTAAAAAGTAAACTTTTAATTTTTTTAAGAATCTTTTAAACCATGTCTCGTGTTAACAGCAAATAATTTCATGAAATAGCATTTCACATTCCGTTGATTTAGCATGCTTTTGATGATTACTTCTGGCTAGATAGATTCAAGAATGTCAATTGTTCCACTTAACTGCGAACGTTTTAATAAATCAATAGTGAGGAAAAAAGTAAGAATAAGATTTTCGCCCGCGCTTAAGTCTCACCACCAGCCAATTGCAACTCTACATGAACACTACAAGTTGTACTCTACATGAGGATTTGAATTTTTGAAACGTAATGCTAAAAAAATAATTTAAAATCAAATTTGTTAAATTAAAATTACTTAAATTTTGCTACCACTTTAAAATATTTTTTACAAAGTGGAACAAGTTGATATTTGGAGATTTTGAGGTGCGAGTAGTGTTGTTAACTGCCCCGTTTTTTTGCAAAAGTTTTAATATATTAGTAGCGAATTAAATAGTAAAACTTTTAGAAAAATGATAAATACGCTCACGTTTTGAAAGTGTCACCACAAGGTAACTGCAATAAAGTTGCATATCATACAATACTTTGGATTATTACATGGTGGAAAAATTACTTAAAATGAAGAATAGAATTTTACAAATTGGTCCACTGTATGAAGCAAGTCAAAGATTATTATTGTAGTTAGTTATTTTAAAATAAAAACAATACCAATCAAAAAAAGGAATTTAAATTTTAGCTATTTCATGGTTGACATTTTTTTCTCAAATTTCCTTTAAAATTATAAGAAATATTCAGAAAAAAGTGTGCAAAAATCTTATGAAAAGAAATTTATTGTGGCCAAAACTGTAAGTCAGGCCTCAGGTAAACCCTTTTTGGAAACTGCATTTTGTGCTGGTGAAAGTCGGTAAATATATTCATTTTTTTATTAGTATTATTCATGCCATTTGAAAAAAGAAAAAATTTGATTTCCATTTCATTTTTACTTCTACGCTACTTAAAATATGATATGAAATTTAAAACACAGTATATTATTATAAAGTAACAGTTAAACAATTACATTAAAAAAAAATAAAAACTATAACAATAAAATTTAAGTTTATAATTTTTGCTTTGATAAATTCAATTTCAATTTGTTTTTTGTAACTTAATGTTGGTATGATATTGAACGCTATTAAAAAACAACAAATTCTGCCGCTTTGATTTGATTATAAATCACGATTTTTAAGCTGTCACTATCCTGTAATCCTCCTTTAATTTATTAAACCTTTATATTATTTCCACAAATTTTTAAGAAGTTTTCTACCATTTCTCCTATATTATTGTAATTTTATTCAAAAATAAAAACTGAATAATTTCATACCTTTTCCGGCGAAATACAAAGTTTTAGATGGTGGGATATATGCAACCCTAAGTACGGCTGATAGTGATAGGTAATCTTAATTGTGTGGTCATTATTTTTAAACTTCAAACGCCTGCTTTAAAAAAAAACATGCGTCATGGAAAGGTATGAAATAACGAGTCACCGGAAAAATACGATCCGAGGGTAAAATTAAAGTAGTTTAGTTTTGCTACTAACTTTCGCCATTACTTTATATGTTAAAATCTAAGTTCAATTTCAATAAGTAACTTAATATCTGTATGCTATTATAGCTTAGAAACATAATCTAATAATCCAACAGGCATTTATTCAGGCATATTAATCTTATAATGTAGAAATGTTTGACAAAATTGTAGAAACACTTCCATTCTAATTCTAAGTCAACAATCTTTCTTCTAGCTTCAAATGTTAGTGAAGATTTTACATGACAACTGTCCATACAATTTAAAATTTCAAGGTTGAGGCTTTCCGAAAAGATGTTTTTTTTTTACCCAGGCAAAATTCAGATAGAACAAAATGAAGCGAGGGTGTTTATAGTGCTTTTTAAATTCAAATCTTGAACCGATATATAAGAAATCATTTATCATATTTTGATACTTAGAAATATAGTGGTATTATTAAAGGAATAACGTCTTTACCTACTACATTCCTTTTGGTCGATGCAAATTTTGCATGGGTATAAGGACACCACTTCTAAAAGCTTCAAACATGATGTTTAAAACTGTGGTAACAGCTTTGTCATGTAAAATCTTCTAAAAAATTTGCTTCAAAAAGAAAGGTTGTTTGCATAGAAATAGTAATGAAACGTTTTCATAATTTTGTAAACTTCTGCTGATTTGTTTTTCAAAAATAATGTTAGTCTATCTACTAAAAAACATTCACTGTTTATGAAGTTTTTTCTCTTTCAAATAAAACATTTCTTCAACGTGATTTATCACTTTTATAATTAATTTATGTAATAAAAATAAATAAATAATAAAAATAAGTAAATAATAAAAATAAATAAATAATAAAAATAAGTAAATAATAAAAATAAATAAATAATAAAAATAAATAAATAAATAATAAAATAAATAAATAATAGACATAAAAAATAATATAAATATGAAAGAATTACTTTGCATGGCCCAAGGTTCGGCTTCAAAAATCCCTTTTACAAATTCCACCATATCTTTCACACAGTTCATGCTAATATTATATTTATCTAATGAATTCGTTGCGCTGTGTATAACATACTTGCCAACTTCGTCTGCTAATTTTTTCCTGACATCCTTGTTCAACAAACTGCTGCCTAAAGCCATCGCCAGTAACTGTTCGTTCAAAGTCTGTTGAGCTTGTAGCTTATCAATGTCAGGCTTTTTCTGTTTGGCATACACAATGGTCAAAANTAAATCACGATTTTTAAGCTGTCACTATCCTGTAATCCTCCTTTAATTTATTAAGCCTTTATATTATTTCCACAAATTTTTAAGAAGTTTCTCTACCATTTCTCTTATATTATTGTAATTTTATCCAAAAATAAAAACTGAATAATTTCATACCTTTTCCGGCGAAATCACAGTTTTAGATGGTGGGATATATGCAGTCCTAAGTACGGCTGATAGCGATAGGTAATCTCAATTGTGTGGTCATTTTTTTTAAACTTCTAATGCCTGTTTTAGAAAAACATGTGTCATGGAAAGGTATCAGATAACGAGCCACAGGAAAAATACGATACGAGGGTAAAATTAGAATAATTTAATAAGTGAAACTTAATATGTGTATACTATTGTAACTTAGAAAATTAATGTTATTATCCAACAGTTTATTCTGGCATACCAATCTTATAATATGTAAGAGTTGGATAAAATTGTGGAAAAACTTCTTTCTAACTCCAACTCTACAATCTTTCATTTTGCAGCTAAAATTTGTGAAGATTTTGCATGACAAAACTGCCTATACCAGGGATGGCGAACCAATGGCACTCGTGCCATTTATGGCACGCGACACAATATTCTGGACACGCCATTGATCACAAAGTTCACCATGAAGAATATTAACAATTAAATTAAAATTCGCAAAAACAAACAAAAAAAATTAAACAATTGACAAAAAGAATTAACAATTTAATGCCAAAAAAACACCAACTGTAAAAAACAAGCTAACAATAAATAACTAGTAAAAAAAAAACTAACTTCTTACAACCTAAAATAAGTCATTTGTCTTCTAATCTGCAACAACAGAAGTCACATTAATGTTACTTTAGGGTTGAATTACGCGAATAACTGAGACATTGCAAAAGTTTTTTTTTTCATAGTAAATAAAGAGTTTTGAGTTGATATTATTTAGTATTATTATTTTCCCAGTAATCAAGAAGTCAAAATTACTTGACGGCACGCCTATGACCTCATTAAACAATTTTTTGAAAAAATGGCAATTATTTTCCCAATAATCAAGAAGTCAAAATTACTTGACGGCACGCCTATGACCTCATTAAAAAATTTTTTGAAAAAATGGCACGTTGGTGTATAAAGATTCGCCACCCCTGGTCTATACAATATAAAATATGCTTGAAACTTTTCGAAATGATGTTATTTTCATCTCCACAAATTTTGGATATGTTATTACGAACGCAACTTGAACATTGAAATCATTTCATCAAATTTTGATATTTAGAATTAAAGTGGTATTAAAAAGAAATATAGTCTTAAAATCCTACTCATTTTGGTCGATGCAAATTTTTCATGGATAAAAGGACACCATTTCTAAAAGCTTCAAGCATGATGTTTAAAACTGTGCCAACAGCTTTGTCATGTAAAATCTTCTAAAACATTTTCTTCAAAAAGAAAGGTTGTTTACATGGAAATAGTATTGGAAAGTGTTCAAAATTTTGTAAATAAACCCCAGCCGATTTGTTTATCAAAAATAATGTTAATCTATCTGATAAAAACTTCACTGTTTAAGAAGTTTTTTCTGTTATAAAATAAAACATTTCTTCAACATGATTTATTACGATTTATCACTTTCATAATTAATTTGTATAATAAAAATAAATAAATAATAAAAATAAGTAAATAATAAAAATAAATAAATAATAAAAATAAATAAATAAATAATAAAATAAATAAATAATAGACATAAAAAATAATATAAATATGAAAGAATTACTTTGCATGGCCCAAGGTTCGGCTTCAAAAATCCCTTTTACAAATTCCACCATATCTTTCACACAGTTCATGCTAATATTATATTTATCTAATGAATTCGTTGCGCTGTGTATAACATACTTGCCAACTTCGTCTGCTAATTTTTTCCTGACATCCTTGTTCAACAAACTGCTGCCTAAAGCCATCGCCAGTAACTGTTCGTTCAAAGTCTGTTGAGCTTGTAGCTTATCAATGTCAGGCTTTTTCTGTTTGGCATACACAATGGTCAAAATGCAGAGAACAATAAATAATAATACAATCCTCATATTTCCAAGATTTATTTTTTACTGATTACAAGATAGTTTTGAAAATTAAATCACATGTTTTGAAATCATGTAAACTGGAATAAAAAGAAAAAAAAATTAATTATACATACTAATAAATTATTTCAATGAATTATTACATTTCTATGGAAAGAAAATATCAATGCATTCGTTAATAATAAAAATTAATTGAATTATATAACTAACATTAAAACGAAGTTATATTTATTTATGATTCCGTCGTTTCTAATGTATTGGTAACAACATTTCTAATACAAGGCATTCATATTTTACTTATAGACTAACGTTTGAAACCTACAACATTAGTTAATGTCTAATGGGCATAAATAAATTGCAAAATTACTCTCACCTTTAAGAAAAATTAATGCAATGCATCATTTTTACACGAGAATAACGGGATGTTGAATTGGTAGATCGTGATGCAGATATCATGCAAAATTAATACAGCATAGAATATATCATAATGTCACGCTTGTTAGTTTTAAAGACAGTATTTTTGCACCTGCCACGGATTTGAGGTGAATAGGTTATACACGTGAAAAGTTTTAATTCTGAGACAAAAATTACATTTGTCATGCTAGCCAAGCGAAATTATTTGAAATTTTTTTAATAACAATGACTTTGCATTATCATAATTAAAATTTGTGTGAATAATATAATATTATTAGAATTTATTGTTTGGTTTGAAATTATCATTTCATTTACTCCTAATTGTATAATGTGAATTTCAAGTAGTCTTTTTTTATTTTTAGTCTTTTCAGTTTCAGTCATATCATGATTATTCTACGAAAAATTGCATAGTCTGATTATGAACCTGATGAGGTAGAATTCATTTGAATGCGGTTTTTTTTCTCTCAATGTGTGACGACTGGTCCATACTAACATGCATTTTTTCGCAATATTACTTAATTATGCTTTTGATGTTTTTTCTCTTTATTTTTCTGAGAAAAACTTTACCATTTTGTGGTTTCTCGAAAATTACAATGTGTAACATTAAATAAATTTTTGAATTAAATTTTTGAAACTTAGATGGAAGAAAAAACGTGAGAATTTTTATGCATTTTGTATCGTTATATGTCGTTGGCAAATTTAAAAATAAGGCTCTTTGAAAACTGCCGACTATACTTTGCAGTGCACCAACACATTAAACCTTGCAATAAACCAATAAATTACAATAAGCTTTTTAGATAGTTAATGAATTGTTTTCATTAGCTTCTCCCATTTTTCTTGAATAGTTAGAATAGTAATAAATTTTATTTTCTATTATTTTATTTTAGTTTTAATAAATTTGATTCGCAATGATTTTTATGATCACTATATAGAAAATTTTTTAACAAATATATAAGACCTGACAAGTCTAGTGTGGAATGTTCTATTTGCTGGTAATCGTTAAAAAAAAGTTGAGTTCGTCTTAGTTAATATTTGTTGTATACAAGGTGTTCTACAGTTAATATGATCTCAAACAAAAATCTTACTTAATGTTTTTGTTATTTACCATTTCCTTCCAGCAACTCTTTCTTATTTATTTCTGTTTCTTTTCACAATGGGGGTCGATCGGTATTGTCCGCCAAACGGTCTGTTAAGTGAAGAGGTGGTAGGTTCGAATCCCACTGTAACCCTATATGTTTTCTTTGTGATGTCCTTCTCTGTATTGTGCTACCTGTATTTCTACTTGACCAAGGCTTATAAGCCTTAATCGAGGACACAAGTCTGCAAATGTTTGTTTATTGTACCAATTCAGAATGAGTATTCCAAAAATTAAGTAAGAAGTCAGCGAATTTGAAACAAAAGTCGTGAAAATTTTGGTATTCGGTAGACATAGGCAAATGTATATAAAAGAACAAAATTATTTTGTATTTGTACATCATTTTAATAAGTATTATCAGGCATCCATAACTTATGCTGGCACAATTTTTGTTGAACTATAAAATCTTACTGTTAAGAACTAGAAAATTTTGTTAACTATTAACAATGTTTTAGTGGGTCTCATTGAAATTTAAAATATTACAAAAATACATTATATTTAGCCCACAGTTTCATTAAGCTGCATTAGGGCACAATCTTTTACATATCTTTGTTCTCACATAGTTATTTACCATATGAAATAGTTGGATTTAATTACGAAAATTCAAACAAATGCAGCAAGAACGTAATTGTTTTCACAGAACAGCGTTTGTAAACGAACAGCAGATGGGCACTCTGCCGTTCTGTTAAGTCAATTCGTAAATGAGCAAGTGTATCTCCGTTTCAGATTAAAACGAAAGGAGGCATTTTTTGCTTAAAAGTAACTACATAATTAGCACTCTTAGAAAAATTATAAAAGGTTTCCTGGGAGTTTTGAGAAATTCTGAATGCATTATGATTTTTTAAAAAAACTTACTGTAAATGTCCATTGTTCTATCTGTAGTTCTATTTGACAAAGGTTTATCAGCCTGATATGAGCACACAATCCTACAAATGTATGTAACCTCAATACAGCAATTTTTTAAGCAATATCAACGAAATCTTCTTATTTAAAAACGTAATAGATGACAAAGACATTAGGCCGATTGCAACATACTATTGCAGTGACGCATCATGTTCTAGACATCAATAATATGTACATAATCTCATCTTCATCATACAAACTTTAATTTCGTTCAAGTAGAACTTTTTATTCATGTTGAACTTCAATTTTATATTATTCAATGCACTATGGATGATTTTGTAATCACATTGTATATAACTAATAGTCATAATTATGTCACAAAATGATACATTTTCGTAAATAAGTAGATAAAAAAGAATAACAGAAATATACTTCTTGTAAGAAGTTTGTCAAAAATTTAATTGTACATCCCAGGTACAATTCATTTTCTCTCTTTACATTCTCACTACACATTTCACAGTTCACTTTTACTAAAGCATAGTAAAGTTTGTTACACACACACGCACGCACGCACGCACATATATAGATATATNATTCCCCTTTCAAAGTCTCTAAATTATCGTTTTACAGTCATAATTACATCAGAAACATTATCATAATAATAACTTGAACACAAATAAAAGTCCTACCAGTGCACAGCATACATTTTGTACTCGGTAGTACTTCCATCTGTAAGTAAGTTCAAAATGAAGATAAAACAAAGGAAAATTACAGACATATGAAAAAAATGGGGAAAAGAAAAATAATAATAAAAAATAACAAAAAACTGCGGGGAAAAAAAAGGCTAAAATTTTTTTAAAAAATCCGGAAAATAAAAGATATAATCTTTTCATCAGTACACACGATTATATCCGCAAAAAAGAGTGCTTTCTGATATTATTATATCAATATAGCCAAAGCAAAATATATTAATACAATAGTGTGAGGAGCACTCAAAAATTTTTTTTGCAAAAATTACAACAAATAAAATAGAACACAAAAAGTTCATATATATGTATATATATACATAATTTGTAAAATGGGAAGGTAAAAGGGAAATATGACCACAAAGATATGCACTAATTGCATTAAAACAGTGGTTACCAAAATTGATGTTACTACGCCTCCCTTAAATATATTTAATCATTTGGCGCCCCCCCCTAAAGATTTCATAAAATAAAAACACAAACATTTTTACTCTTACAAAATTTATTCATACAAACTAATGGAAAACGATATTTTATTATTGTTTTTAATGAGATGGATGTGCTTGTCTATTAGCACAAAGCTTATCAAATCTTGGTGTTTGAGACGATATAGCTACTCGTAGCTCTTTTTCTACAACTAAACGAGATCGATATTTGGATTTCATTGCAGCCAAGGCAGAAAATCCCGTTTCGCATAAATATGATGTTGCGAACGGCAGCAGTACTTTCAAAGCTTTGTTTGACAAAGTGTTATATTCTGTATGAAGATTCAACCAGAATTGAAAAAGAGATACAGTCTGAAATTTATGTTTCAACGTAGTATCACAAGATAATTCAATCAATTTTTCTTTTACAATACTTGTCAATCCAAATTCATCATCTTCTTTGTCGATAAATGGATTCTGTATCCACGCAAACTTTGTGAAATCAAGATCACCAAAATAATTCGAAAATTGAAACAACCATTCAAGTGTTCCACAAAGAGATTTTTGTTTGTTTCTATGTTATCTCGGGCGCATAAATTTAAGCGTGGAAACATGTCAATCTTATTTTTTTGCAAATTTGATCTCCATAGCTCCAATTTTTTAATAATTGCTTTCACTTTGTCTTTTTGTATAAATGCATTTGCGGTCCATGCGTTGATTTATTAAGAACACTAAATTTTTCAAAAATGTCAACCAAATATGTAAGTTTAACGATAAAATTATCATCCCTAAACATATTGCCGTCTTCATTATGATTTGCCTCGAGAAACATAGCAATTTCTTCTTTGAGTTCAAGTACCCTATGAACCACTTTTACACGAGATAGCCAGCGCACTTCACAATAGTACAGAAGTGACGTGTAATTAGCTCGCATATCTTCACACAGTTTTGCGAACAACCTTGCTTTTAATGGACTGTTTTTTATGTAATTTATAACTTTCGTTACTTTTGCAAAAACATTGTTAAGTTCCTCGCTTATAGTTTTTGATACGAGAGCTGCTCTGTGAAGTATGCAGTGCGTCCAGAGAACCTCAGGTGTTTTAATTTTAACTAGTATTTTGAAGACCAGTTTTGTGTCCCGCCATTGATTGTGCACCGTCAGTACAGAGCCCAATGCAATTATTCCACATTATGTCGTTCTCATTAAAAAAATCTGTCTATTATTTCTGTCTACAAGTTTTTAATGATTAAAAACTTGCCAGGAGCACAGCTTCCAAAGCACTGGTCATACGATTTGCCACTCATGGGTAGTCTCAACACGCATAATTACGTCCACATTGCAAACCCTTATTTACGAAAAGATTTATAAAATATGCTTTGATTATATTAAAAAAAATGAGATAATTAAGAATTACATTTAGTTGAGTATAGCATTTATTCACTAATGAGATATCAGTAAGTGACGGACTGTGGTTATCTCGATCCAGATTGGTTGTTGAAGCGTGACATTTGCTTACGTTTACAACTGTTTTTTCTATTATTCTATTTCGAGCAAGTCAAGCTGGCCATGTTTCAATTCTCTTAAGTGACACATTCTATATTCTTTCACGAAGATTCGTTAGCAAATATTTCTATTTATACTTCTTATTTAACACAAAGACAGTCCACGTAGAACACAAACAAACTAATTTTGCATCGAAGTTTCCGAGTGCACAAAACAAAACAATATCATGGTTACAGTAATAAATCTAAGTTAAGTAAAAGACTTAGACGAAAATTATCTTTTAACAAATTCGATGAGCGATTCGGTGTTGTATAGACTTCACATTAATTAATTATATTATTCGAATGATTATTAATTATATTATTAATTCAATATATTAATTATATATTCGGTTAGGTATGTACTTTACATTAAATAACAATCTAATTTACGTGGAGAACTTAGCTGAGCTTAAACATCTTGTTTATAAACTATCAGCTGGCGCTGAGGTCATGGGTCACGTGTCTGTGTATCAGTTATCGCAGGGCTGGATTACCCATTAGGCCAGACTAGGCCATGGCCTGATGTCCTCAATTATTAGGGGCCCCCTTAAAATGGATTTTTTGAAAATAAATTTTAAAAATTTAAAGAAATGAAGCAAAATTTAATTTATTATTATTTATTTTAATTTTAAATATGCTTTCTTGAGTGAAAAGATATATAAATACTTTTATATTTGAATAAATAAAAAATATACGAGAAAAAATTTAATCTAAGGGCCCCAGAACTTTGAATGGCCTAGGGCCCCGCTTACGCTTAATCCGGCCCTGAGTCATCGTCTTCTTCTCGAGTGGCAAATATCAAATTCGAATAAAAATAAATGATAGGATAAGTCATTTAATCTTAAGTTATTGCAATAATTCATTTTTAAAGTCGAACTTAAAAATTAGCAAATACTAAAGAATTTTTTTCTTTGAATTGGCATAAAGATTAGGGAGTGTGACATAAGTTAGAGAAAAATGACCATCAAATTAAATAAACTACTGAATTATTCGAAAGTAAGTTTTTACACATTTAAGCAGTCAGTTTCTTATGCGAAATCGAACGTGTATAATCATTTATTAAATTGGTATGTAAATGGATATGCACAGATATGCTTCATAAAAGGTTAGGCAAGCGGCATACTTTATTGCAGTTTCATATTTCTTTTTAGAGAGTTTTTTTTAAGCAATAAAAATAATTGTTAAGGAGTTAGCAGGCTCATAATTGAAATTGCCAACAGCTTTGTGGCTGTGGTCTGAACCAGTTGCCACCCGCAGGCGGACTCAACGCATGTAGTCACGCCTTCTTGCCAAACCCAATAACTTTCACTGTGGTTTTTATTGATATACCCTGAAGATAAAGTAAAAATTTAAATATATATATATATATATACTTGGGTTGNATATGTTGATAAAAATTTAAAGTTGTGGACAAAAATAAATATTCATTGTCATTACATTACGATTTTAGTTTCAGAATTCCTATTGCTTTAACATAAGCTCAATGGTGGACACATACTTTGATAGTTCAATACACTAGTGATCACAATTCTATGTTTTTTAGTAAAGGAAGTAAATCTATTTGTATGACAACTTTGATCTATCGGATATCTATGAGTTAAAGTTGAAACGTTGCTTTTAGTTAAAATATCTATAAAAAAAAAAAGAATTCTAACATTAGCGTGAATTCATACCACATTCTAATTTTTCTACATCTGTAAGAAACTTGCACAGATTATATAATTAGAACAAGACAAACGGTTGTAAAAGTATACTAGTTTTAAAATTGTTTTTGCATACCTTTGTCATTTCTTATGTAACCACAGATTAAAAATAGATGAACTGTCAAACTTTTAATAGAGAATTCATTGTAAATGTTCGTATATAAAGAGAAACGACAAGTTTAACAATACAATTTGATCTCTGGACTTGGGATTAATATGAAGGTAGTGATAATAGCTGGTGGAAATATGACAGTTAAAACAAACACAATATGGGGAAGATTTGATCAATAGAATTTTGTCTTTAGAGAAACAAATAAGTCAAATGAAACGAAAACTCAAATGTGGATGATCATTACTAGCTTAACTTAGTTTTGACTTTAAAATATTTTATAAACTTATACTTAGTTTTACTTAGTTTTGACTTTAAAATATTTATAAATATAACTTTGACTTAAAATATGAGCTTTCAAAAGAGCTAGTGTTTTTTTATTATTATTATTTTGTTTTAAACACCAATGTTTTTGAAAATGTATTCTTTTTAAAAGTACAAGGATTGTAAAAGTAAAAAATTGGTAACTTATTAATTTCATTGCTGGCATTAATCTGAGACGAGTAAATTATTTGTATTTACCAAAATATTTTAATACGAGCAACACTAAAAGGTAAATTTGACTCTGAAACTTATTTATCAAATATTTTT